TACTCTGCTGGAGGTCTCTGCTCCTTCCGCTATAACTCTCCTCTCCTGAGATATTCTCCTCTGCTGGAGGACTCTGCCCCTTCCCCTGTAAGTCTCCGCTCCTGAAATACTCTGCTGGAGGTCTCTGCTCCTTCCGCTATAACTCTCCTCTCCTGAGATATTCTCCTCTGCTGGAGGACTCTGCCCCTTCCCCTGTAAGTCTCCGCTCCTGAAATACTCTGCTGGAGGTCTCTGCTCCTTCCGCTATAACTCTCCTCTCCTGAGATATTCTCCTCTGCTGGAGGACTCTGCCCCTTCCCCTGTAAGTCTCCGCTCCTGAAATACTCTGCTGGAGGTCTCTGCTCCTTCCGCTATAACTCTCCTCTCCTGAGATATTCTCCTCTGCTGGAGGACTCTGCCCCTTCCCCTGTAAGTCTCCGCTCCTGAAATACTCTGCTGGAGGTCTCTGCTCCTTCCGCTATAACTCTCCTCTCCTGAGATATTCTCCTCTGCTGGAGGACTCTGCCCCTTCCCCTGTAAGTCTCCGCTCCTGAAATACTCTGCTGGAGGTCTCTGCTCCTTCCGCTATAACTCTCCTCTCCTGAGATATTCTCCTCTGCTGGAGGACTCTGCCCCTTCCCCTGTAAGTCTCCGCTCCTGAAATACTCTGCTGGAGGTCTCTGCTCCTTCCGCTATAACTCTCCTCTCCTGAGATATTCTCCTCTGCTGGAGGACTCTGCCCCTTCCCCTGTAAGTCTCCGCTCCTGAAATACTCTGCTGGAGGTCTCTGCTCCTTCCGCTATAACTCTCCTCTCCTGAGATATTCTCCTCTGCTGGAGGACTCTGCCCCTTCCCCTGTAAGTCTCCGCTCCTGAAATACTCTGCTGGAGGTCTCTGCTCCTTCCGCTATAACTCTCCTCTCCTGAGATATTCTCCTCTGCTGGAGGACTCTGCCCCTTCCCCTGTAAGTCTCCGCTCCTGAAATACTCTGCTGGAGGTCTCTGCTCCTTCCGCTATAACTCTCCTCTCCTGAGATATTCTCCTCTGCTGGAGGACTCTGCCCCTTCCCCTGTAAGTCTCCGCTCCTGAAATACTCTGCTGGAGGTCTCTGCTCCTTCCGCTATAACTCTCCTCTCCTGAGATATTCTCCTCTGCTGGAGGACTCTGCCCCTTCCCCTGTAAGTCTCCGCTCCTGAAATACTCTGCTGGAGGTCTCTGCTCCTTCCGCTATAACTCTCCTCTCCTGAGATATTCTCCTCTGCTGGAGGACTCTGCCCCTTCCCCTGTAAGTCTCCGCTCCTGAAATACTCTGCTGGAGGTCTCTGCTCCTTCCGCTATAACTCTCCTCTCCTGAGATATTCTCCTCTGCTGGAGGACTCTGCCCCTTCCCCTGTAAGTCTCCGCTCCTGAAATACTCTGCTGGAGGTCTCTGCTCCTTCCGCTATAACTCTCCTCTCCTGAGATATTCTCCTCTGCTGGAGGACTCTGCCCCTTCCCCTGTAAGTCTCCGCTCCTGAAATACTCTGCTGGAGGTCTCTGCTCCTTCCGCTATAACTCTCCTCTCCTGAGATATTCTCCTCTGCTGGAGGACTCTGCCCCTTCCCCTGTAAGTCTCCGCTCCTGAAATACTCTGCTGGAGGTCTCTGCTCCTTCCGCTATAACTCTCCTCTCCTGAGATATTCTCCTCTGCTGGAGGACTCTGCCCCTTCCCCTGTAAGTCTCCGCTCCTGAAATACTCTGCTGGAGGTCTCTGCTCCTTCCGCTATAACTCTCCTCTCCTGAGATATTCTCCTCTGCTGGAGGACTCTGCCCCTTCCCCTGTAAGTCTCCGCTCCTGAAATACTCTGCTGGAGGTCTCTGCTCCTTCCGCTATAACTCTCCTCTCCTGAGATATTCTCCTCTGCTGGAGGACTCTGCCCCTTCCCCTGTAAGTCTCCGCTCCTGAAATACTCTGCTGGAGGTCTCTGCTCCTTCCGCTATAACTCTCCTCTCCTGAGATATTCTCCTCTGCTGGAGGACTCTGCCCCTTCCCCTGTAAGTCTCCGCTCCTGAAATACTCTGCTGGAGGTCTCTGCTCCTTCCGCTATAACTCTCCTCTCCTGAGATATTCTCCTCTGCTGGAGGACTCTGCCCCTTCCCCTGTAAGTCTCCGCTCCTGAAATACTCTGCTGGAGGTCTCTGCTCCTTCCGCTATAACTCTCCTCTCCTGAGATATTCTCCTCTGCTGGAGGACTCTGCCCCTTCCCCTGTAAGTCTCCGCTCCTGAAATACTCTGCTGGAGGTCTCTGCTCCTTCCGCTATAACTCTCCTCTCCTGAGATATTCTCCTCTGCTGGAGGACTCTGCCCCTTCCCCTGTAAGTCTCCGCTCCTGAAATACTCTGCTGGAGGTCTCTGCTCCTTCCGCTATAACTCTCCTCTCCTGAGATATTCTCCTCTGCTGGAGGACTCTGCCCCTTCCCCTGTAAGTCTCCGCTCCTGAAATACTCTGCTGGAGGTCTCTGCTCCTTCCTCTATAACTCTCCTCTCCTGAAATACTCTGCTAGATGTCTCTGCTCCTTCCTCTATAACTCTCCTCTCCTGAAATACTCTGCTCTGCTGGAGGACTCTGCTCCTTCCCCTATAACTCTCCTCTCCTGAAATACTCTGCTGGGCTGGAGGACTCTGCTCCTTCTGGTATAACTCTATTGCAGTATTTTAGGCGTAAAATCTTTGTTTCACACAAAAAGGCAAGCTGTAAGGGTAGGGGGTTGGGGGAAAGTTAAACATAGACAAAATATGTTATTTTACTACTGAACCTGAGTACATATATACCCTGTATCCATTATCTATACATTTACCTAAAACATTTCACCTTCCAGAGCTTCTCGGTCCACAAGCACTCCAATCCCGCTCACAGGTGACAGCCAGACAGACGCCGACATCCTGGCATTTGTGAGAGCGCGGCAGAATCTCCTGCAGAGGAAAGGTAACGGGAGCGTCTGTAATGTACCAATAAAGTGTTTTTCTATTTATAAAGATCAGCAAAAATAATTGTCTTCAGTTTTCTCGCACTCCGTCCTCATTCATGGTAAAACTTCTCCTCTAATGCTGAAGTTCAATCTACCTATACTTGGCCCTTCCCGGTCCCCCCTTCCCCTCATTCACATGGTAATGACAATTCTCAATGAAATCTGTTTCCATGGCATCTCTTATTTTAGGCTCAGTGATGTCATCATTGGGCCTCTATGCAATGCAGACAGATCACGGCTGGTGGGAGGGGCCAGCAGGGGGCTGTACATAGCATCCTGGGCAACACGGTGCGGTAGTGGTTACTGCTTCTGGGGGTCCCCAGTTTAAATCCCGGTCTAGTCACTATCTGCAAGGAGGTTGCATGTTCTCCCTGTGCTTGCGTGGGTTTCCTCCGGGTACTCTGGTTTCCTCCCACACTCCAAAGACATGCTGGAAGGTTAATTGGCTCCTGTCCTGTATGAATGGATCATATAAAACAGCACAGCACCCTGCCTTAGTACTCCTCTCAAGAGTCCTTAGCCCAGATGTAAGCAGTGGACTGGCTTTTGGGAGAAGTTATGCAATTATCTTGATAAATGGATATCAGTCTGGAGACGTAGGTGCTCCAAGGCAGGCTGCATTTGCATGCAGAGCACCGTAGGTAATGTCATCATGTTATGCTGAGCCTCCATGATTCAAAAAACCGACATCCAATGAATAAAAGGGGGCGGGCCAAGGACAAGTCAGACTGGGGAGGAAAGGGCTAGAATTTGCTGGACAACTTCCAGGCATAATCTATCAGACTTACAGCTACTTCTTCTTCTACAGCTGTCACTGAAATTGCCGGTGTTGGTGGCCTAGGAGAGCGGTGACATCTCTCAATCATGTGACAGTGTTTAGGTCTAGCGATTGGCTGCTAGATATGAGCACTGTGATGGGGAGCAGGTTAAATGCTCTTCCCAGCCACACACAGAAGTGCCGGTGTTCTATTGAAAGCTCCAACTCATCGAGATCTCCAACTACCTCACTTCCGATGCTCAAAAAAACTGGAGCCCTGTACGGTTGCGGTGCGCATAGCGTTTTCAGAACACTCGTCGAGTTTTCCACCTGCTGAATGTTGTTAAAATGCAGCTGTACAGAGCTCCGTCAGTCTTTGTGTTTTGTAGTCTAATGCCATCTAGTCGAAATCTCCAACTTGCAGGTACCCAGCAGTGAGGTAGTTGGAGATTTCGACGAGTTGGAGCTTTCGATAGAACACCGGGTAGTATTGCTGGTTGCAGCAGAGGAAGGAGCTAGAAGGGTGATTATATTGCATATGCTGGTTCCCATTCTTGCAGCTTAGATGTTGATGCTATGTGTGCTATGTAGAAGCTGTGGTCATTTTTGGACATTGCAAGGAGGAAGCCGTATTTGCTGATTGAATATACAGGTTGTGCTTCCGGCTTAGTAAAGCAACTTAGTAATTGTGTAAGGCGGATGGGGACAGAGCCAGGAAGTATGGAAGAGAGATGTTGCCACACTCCCCAACAATCTAAGAAGTGAGCAGACGACCCAGCCCCCGAGATTCTACCTATAACCCAAGTATCACTTTTGGGGCGGACGTGCCCTTTAAGGGAGACCTGCAGATGGAATTATCAGCTCTCTCCCATCATTTCCAGTGAGCAGTGATGAGCAGAAGCAGCATATGGTGTTACTGTTGTCCTAAGAGGCACTTTATTATCTGTTGGCTTATCAGCATTTGCTGTCAGGCAAACACACAGAGAATAGCAGGCGACACCACTTCACAGCGACCGACGCTTCTCCGACTTCCATCTCTGTTTGTCTCTGTGCACCCGGCTCCACCGTACTGAGCTGATCTGAGTGATAATATACTGTGCCATGGCCAACTCCGTCTATGATCAGCTGCCCATTGTACCCCTCTGACAACACTGCTTCCCAATAGCGAGGAGTGAAATATGAGAGATTCCTGTTGTCTGAAATTTAGTGATTTTTCCCAAATTTCACCATTTTGGCCAAATTCATCAGAGTCAATGGGACGGTGAAATGAAAGGGAAATTCCTGATCAACATACAATTCAAATATTTACATTTTTCTAAAAATACTTGTTTTGAGACCCAGGGAGGTCATCATTGGGTCTCTTGGCTCTTCGGTGGGAGGGGCCAGCAGAATCATGTACATGTCACAGCTTTCTGGCTTGGGTCCTTTTCAAAAGTATTGTAGAAAAGACAACATCCCCGGAATCCCTTTAGATGTTCCTGCTTCTCATCCCCGGAATCCCATTACATGTTCCTGCTTCTCATCCCCGGAATCCCATTACATGTGCCTGAATCTCATCCCCGGAATTCCTGTACATGTGCCTGAATCTCATCCCCGGAATCCCTTTACATGTGCCTGAATCTCATTCCCGGAATCCTATTATATGTGCCTGAATCTCATCCCCGGAATCCCATTACATGTGCCTGCTTCTCATCCCCGGAATCCCTTTACATGTGCCTGAATCTCATCCTCGGAATCCCTTTAGATGTTCCTGCTTCTCATCCCCGGAATCCCATTACATGTGCCTGAATCTCATCCCCGGAATTCCTGTACATGTGCCTGAATCTCATCCCCGGAATCCCTTTACATGTGCCTGAATCTCATCCTCGGAATCCCTTTAGATGTTCCTGCTTCTCATCCCCCAGAATCCCTTTAGATGTGCCTGACTCTCATCCCCGGAATCCCTTTAGATGTGCCTGAATCTCATCCCTGGAATCCCTTTAGATGTGCCTGAATCTCATCCCCGGAATCTTTTTAGATGTGAATCTCATCCCCGGAATCCCTTTAGATGTGAATCTCATCCTCGGAATCCCTTTTAGATGTGCTTGAATCTCATCCTCGGAATCCCTTTAGATGTTCCTGCTTCTCATCCCCGGAATCCCTTTAGATGTTCCTGCTTCTCATCCCCGGAATCCCTTTAGATGTTCCTGCTTCTCATCCCCGGAATCCCTTTAGATGTTCCTGCTTCTCATCCCCGGAATCCCTTTAGATGTTCCTGCTTCTCATCCCCCGGAATCCCTTTAGATGTTCCTGCTTCTCATCCCCAGAATACCTTTAGATGTGCCTGAATCTCATCCCCGGAATCCCTGTACATGTGCCTGAATCTCACACCCGGAATCCCTTTAGATGTGCCCAAATCTCCCTACTGACCAAAGGATGCTCCAGACTTTATCAGTGCACTCTGCCAATCCATTGACCAGGTTGCAGGCATGTCTAAAGGGATGCTCATAGCTGGGGGGGGGCAATGACAGTACAGAGCAGGGGGAGAAGTGTTTAATGAATGACGCAGGAAATGAAGGCAGGCTTAAGATAGCTGCTGCAAGTGTAAAGGGTTATATTGGGGAGATGCAGGTTTCCCGGGAATTGAGAGTTATCTGTTTCAGCACAGGAGAGGATTTGCTACAAGAGTGCGGAGGAAAAGGTAAGGCTGGAGTTCAGCTTTAACCCTCATGCACATGCCGGGATTTGTAGTTCCTCGGTGACTGCACTGTCTACTGATATCAGCCTGTGACTTGTGTTTGATAACAGAGGCGCCTTCCATCTCCAGCAGCGGTCACGCGTAGCGCTTAATATGGTATTATTGTTGTGTGTTTATCTAGTCCATTACCCTGATGTGAGAGTCCGCTAACTCATCACATTGCCCCTGTATTAGCAGACATTTATCACTGCGCTCCGTGCGCACAGACGTAACAAAACCCACTCACTCCATTTACAGCAGAGCTGGGCTCCTGTATGAAAGAGAACCTGTCAGTGACTTTACATATTGGTCAGGACACTATCTGCATGGAGTTTGCATGTTCTCCCTGTGCTTGCCTTGGTTTCCTTCCACACACCAAAGACATGCTGGAAAGGTAATTGGCTCCTGTCTACGTTGCCAGGGCTAATGATTTCTTCTTCTGTTTGATTAAAGCTGAATTCTAGGACCACACGGGAAAGAAGCACAATAGATGCTGGGAGGAAAAGTTATTTCTAAGCTTTCATGTCAGGGTGAGATGTGTAGCCATTGCAAGGACTACATCTCCCAGCATGCCTTTCATCTGTCCAGCAGGTGTGGACTGGATGATGTCACTTGGGGGAGGGATTAGATAATGTCAAAAAGTCCACGGTGGATACTGGTGACATTGAAGATGTGTGTCAACATTTAATTGACTGCTCTGTCTGCAGTCTCACCTTAAATGAAATATTTGTTGCTACTCATGTACCCCGACCCCCTTCCTCTGTGTGGGGTTGTTGTTGTTGTTGTCTTGAACTATTTTTTAACATGTAAATAAAGATATTGAAACTAAGAATAGTCAGAATCAGATGACTCGCTTAGCATCCTGGCTCCGCCCCTCTCCGTACATTTTTGCATAATTCAGCCCGTGTTTACCAATCACATGTGTATTTCCTGTCAGCTGTCTGTATGATTGTTGTGCTTCCTCCCCAGGCTCCGCCCACCAGTGACGGATAGAAGCCGCGCCAACACGTGTTCAGATGGACTGTCAATACCAGCTCTCTATTGTTCTCCCCAGGACCTGTCTCTTCTCTTTCCAATGGAGAGTCTCTTTAAATGGAGCAAAATCAGGACATATTGCTGTGATGACACCCCTGACAGTGCCATATTGCAGGACGGTAAATGGTGCCATGAACGGATCATAGAATGTACATGCCATCTGCAGGCATAAAAAGCACCGGTCATTTCTGTGTTATTGGTCACTTTATTGTTTGCTTCGGCATGACAGAGCACTCTCTCTCTCTCTCTCTCTTTTCTATCTATCTATCTATCTATCTATCTATCTATCTATCTATCTATCTATCTCTCTCTCTCCTCTCTCTCTCTTCTCTCCTCCCCTCTCTCTTCTCTCTCTATCTCTCTCTTCTCTCCTCCCCTCTCTCTCCCTTCTCTCCTCCCCTCTCTCTTCTCTCTCTCTTCTCTCCTCCCCTCTCTCTCTTCTCTCCTCCCCTCTCTCTTCTCTCTCTATCTATCTCTCTCTTCTCTCCTCCCCTCTCTCTCTTCTCTCCTCCCCTCTCTCTTCTCTCTCTATCTATCTCTCTCTTCTCTCCTCCCCTCTCTCTCTTCTCTATCTATCTCTCCCTCTCTCTATCTATCTCTATCTCTCCCTCTCTCTCTATCTATCTCTATCTCTCCCTCTCTCTCTGCTCTCTCTCTTCTCTCTCTCTCTCTCTCTCTCTCTCTTTTCTATCTATCTATCTATCTATCTATCTATCTATCTATCTATCTATCTATCTATCTATCTATCTATCTATCTCTATATCTCCCTACTCTCTCCCTCTCCCTCTTTCTCTACTCTCTCTCTCTCTTCTCTCTCTCCTCTCTCTCTCTCTTCTCTCTATCTATCTTTCTATCTCCCTCTCTCTATCTCCCTCACTCTTTCTCTATACACTCTCTCTCTCCCTCCCCTCTCCCTCATGTTTGTTTATTACATAGACAGACCCTGCTTCCTGCTTAGTGGTGCTGCACAGCAGTTGTATTTTAGGCCCTTCGTACTATAGTGTGTTAAAGAGTAATTGAACTCCACAAGCTGTGCCTACAACTAAGGCAGGCAGAGAGCCAAGGGCTAGTCACCAGTGTTGCCTGTGGTCTCTCAGCAACTGAGCGTCCCTAATACTGACTTCTTATGCCTTGTTCTGCACTGTCTCTCTGACTAGGCAGCCATCTTGGTAGAGGCAGGTCTTTGCTTCCTCATGTCAGAGCCTCCAGCAAGTGAGCGGCACGTAATGTGCACAGTGCATTGCCTGCTATTATTACAGTGCCTTGGGGTTCCATATGAAACGAATGGCTGAGCAATGCAGTTCTGTAGACATGTTGCCATGCGTTGCAGTAAAGCTTAGTAGATCACCTGAATGGACCGGACTGTTCCTCTTTCTAAATGGCTCTGATCAGAGCGATGAAAAACAATACAACGTCCGTGTTGCTCATTGTGTTACCTCAGTGGTAGATCATCACAGAGGCTGACATACAGATGACCACTAGAGGGCGAGTCTACCAATCCGCATAATATGGTCATAGAAATATGGTACAGCAAGTAGGTGACATCAGAAATTCCTTTCAGGTGAACTTTACAATAACTCACAATATGTGATGACTGAACAGTGTGGTTTCCGTGTAGCATGTACACACGGTGCCCTCCCTGGGCCTGTACATTAGGATTTGAGATCTGTCCAAAGTTTGCTTTCTATTAATAATAACACCGGGATTTTTGTTCTGATTTACTGTTATTTGTGTTGTCGTCGGGTTCACATGTAAAGCGCAGCTGCTTAATGTGGAGCGATCCTTTATAAATAATGTCATTAGTGCCACCGAAAATGGATTCCTTCCTCCATTTGTTTGATTATTTTATTGAAATTTGTATTTATTAATAATAAAATATTTTTTTATAGGATGATATAATAATTGTTTTTATGCTTTACTTCTGTATGGGCCAAATTATAGTTTGTGATTATATATAATGCGGGGACAGCCAGGTTTGTTTATTACATAGGCGGGCCTTGCTTCCTGCTTAGTAGTGCTGCACAGTGGTTTTATTTTACACTTCCCTTCACATTATATACTATTATGTCTTAAAGGGAAACTGAGCTCCTGAGGCTGTGCCCCAAAAAACATAGGCAGAGTGTTAAGGACTAGTCGCCACTACTGCCTGTGGTCTTCCTGCAGCTGATCATTTACTGATTACTGACATACCATGCCCTGTTAAACACTTTGTCTCTGCACAGAGGCGGCCATCTTAGTAGGAGGCAGTTCTTTGCTTCCTTAGAGTTGCTCCCCTGATGACTGGTGGCATAGTGATGAAGAAGCAGGAGAGGTGGATGAAGCACAGATCCATCAAGTCAATAAAGCAGAAGCAGGGAGATGCTGGCACTGCAGGTTCTCAGGTGCAGCTTCCTCTCCAGCAAGGAGAACAATGATCAGTACAGTAATGACATCACCAAATCTCCTGAGACCAGCAGTCAGATGTAGCAGTGCCTTAGATGAGCTCTCACTGCAGATATAAAGCTCTGAGGCTATTGGCACAGGATTGCTCATGTACACTCACATACCAGGACTTTTCAGAAGGAATTTAAAACAAAAGGTAAATTTTCAGGACAATTACAATTTCTAGATGATCCCTATTGGAAATCATATCTTCACTTTAAAGCACAGCTAGATTTTGTAATGCGTATAGATATATAAACTATATTGCCAAAAGTATTGGGCCACCCCTCCAAATCATTGGATTAAGGAGTTCCAATCACCTCCATGGCCACAGGTGTATACAATCACGCACCTCGGCATGCAGACGCTTCTACAAACATTTGTGAAAGATTGGGTCGCTCTCAGGACCTCAGTGACTACAAGCGTGGTACCGTGATAGGTTGTCACCTGTGCAATCAGTCCATCCGTAACATTTCCTTGCTGCTAAATATTCCACGGTCACCTGTTAGTGTATTGTAACAAAGTGGAAGCAACTGGGAACAACAGCAACTCAGCCACGAAGTGGTAGGCCACGTAAAATGTCAGAGCGGGGTGAGCGCATGCTGAAGCACACAGTGCGCAGAAGTCGCCAACTGTCTGCAGAGTCAATAGCTACAGACCTCCAAACTTCACGTGGCCTTCAGATTGGCACAGTCCAGTTCCAAGTGAAGGGAACTCTTAAGGCATCAGCATACCAAGACATTTTGGACAATTTCATGCTCGGAACTTTGTGGGAGGAGTTTGGGGATGGCTCCTTCCCGTTCCCAGATGACTGCGCACCAGTGCACAAAGCAAGGTCCATAAAGACATGGATGAGCGAGTTTGGGGTGGAGGAACTTGACTGGCCTGCACAGAGTCCTGACCTCAACCCCATAGAACACCTTTGGGATGAATTAGAGCGGAGACTGCGAGTCCGGCCTTCTCGTCCAACATCAGTACCTGACCTCACAAATGGTCCAACATTCCCATAGACACACTCCTAAACCTTGTGGACGCATTCCCAGAAGAGTTGAAGCTGTTCTAGCAGCAAAGGGCGGAGCTAACTCAATATTGAACCCTACGGACTAAGACTGGGATGCCATTAAAGTTCATGTGTGTGTAAAGGCGTCCCAATACTTTTGGCAATATAGTGTATCTGGAAGTGATCATCTGATATGTAAATACTAATGAAGGCCCCTTCACACCTGTCTGGTGTGTTATTTCACACATCAATGTCTGTTGCGTTGTCAGCCCATTCAGTTTAATTAGACTTTAAATTGTAAAGTCTAATTAAATTGGAGTGTGTCTGTGGGCATTTGTGTCCATTCAGTCAAGAGAGCATTTGTGAGGTCAGGCATTTATGGTGGATGAGACCTGGCTCGCCATCGGCATTCTAACTCATCCCCAAGGTGTTCAGTAGGGTTGAGGGCTCTTTGTAGGCCACTTGAGTTCCTCCACACCAAACTGGTCGAACCATGTCTTTATGGAACTGGTTTTGTACAGAAAAGGACCTTCACCAAACTGGTACCACAAGTTTGGAAGAGCTCAAATGTCTACTATGATGTAGTATTAACAATACCCTTCACTGGGAATCCTGAGCTGCCATCATTTGGAGGAGGGTCCATATACTTTGAGCCATAAAGGTAGGTGTGATGGGCAGGTGTCCACTTAGTGTACATAAAAGGTATATGTATTTCCTGGACCTTGAACTGCAATTGTATTGCATGTATTAGGCATTTGGTATGAAGGATCATTCCCAAGTCTGGTGACCAATGACCTCCTATAAAGAGGTAAAAGATGAATTCAAATACTAATTCCATCATATCCATCCATTTGTCTAATTAAAATTCATCTGGTTATGGAAAGAAAAGGTCGGGTTAGAACTACTGCCAGGTTCTTATTGCTGCCTGTGTCTTGGCTGGGGAGATGTATCCTTTCAATTTGTCATGGTGACCATCGTACCAGCACAGAAAGTGATGGGAATCCAACATTTTCTTTTTTACAGTTGTCACCATCGAGGGGAAACCTTACAGTGGGGACACCCGCTTCAGTTACAGGTGTCTAAAGCTGGTGGACGATATGAACGTTCATATAGAAAAACCTCTCCGAACATTCAATAATTCCATCAAAAACTTGATGAATTCCATAAAAAAATTAGTTTGATTTGAAAATTGGATTTGGGAAATGAATGGAGTTTACTGAAGGAAAATCACATTCCCTGTTAGAAAATATTTCCACGCTGCTCCTTCAATTTTTTTCGTCACTGCGGTAAAATGTAGATTCGACCTCAGAATTTCGAATTTAGACATTTAGACCTTCTTCGTTTTCTAATGGTGAATATTTATAACTATGTCCTTCTCTAGCCAATCTCACACAACCTCTTCATATTTCTGACCCGCTGTGGTCTCTTTAAAAGCAGGTATGGGAGGGTGGTGCCTCCAATCTTATCGCTGTGACTGATGAGCTGTAGCAGAAGCCGGATCACATTTGCTTTCCTCCGTCTTCTGATAGGAAAAATGTATTGATTTTTCATTGGTATTTTCCAAGATAGAAAAGCTTTTCACA